TTGCCAGCGAGACAGGCTCAGATCCCTGCTTGTGCGGGCATGGCTGTGTTCCAGTCAGCTGGATGTGTTGGAAAAGAGCACGAGGGTGGGATTCCAGCTGCGAACAGATGCAGAGAGTCACTGTTCCTCTTAAAAAACTTCAGAGGATCGACTGGTTTTTAACTAAATTTTCATTTCGACCAGCATAAACGCAGTAAATATAAGCCCACTAAACACTGAGGAGCTATATTTATGGCGTTATATATTTTGACTGATTGAGAAAGGAGCTTTGGTTTGAGAATATATATTTTTTTATTTTTTTAGGAGAGGCTCCTTGGACCACACAAGCGTATAGCGCCCTCTCCTCAGTAGTCAAGTCCTGCAAGAATTTTAAAGTCCGAATCAAATCAGCCATGGCCCTCTCCATCCCTAGCAAGAGGGAATGCTACGGCTCCACGGAGCAGTTCTGCCAGATCTGGAGCGCCTTGGTGCTAGCCTTGCGGAAGAGTGAAGACACTGAGGACTTCCTGGAATTCAAGTACAGCGCCAGCCTGCGGACGCAGATCTGCCAGGCGCTGTTTCACTTGTTAAGCCTGGCGAAGAGCACGGACCTGCCGGTCGTTTGGAAAACTGTGACGGAGGACGGGGACGCCATCAGACCCTACGTCTTGCAGTACCTGAAATCTGGAGGTGAAGAAAACGAAACGGGAGTGCGTGCGGACTCGTGCGAGAGGGAGAGAGCGTTAAAAGGAGCCATTGAACATCTCGCTGGGATAGAGAAGCAGCTGGAGGGTAAAGCCAGGGTACGAGTGTCCCTTTACCTGGAAAATGTCTTGAGAAACCACACCAACACCACGGAATTAACAGAGTCTTAAAGAAACACCAGGGCCAGAGACCAACATCTTACGCTTCTCCCTGGGCAGGGAGAAGGTTTCTGCTTTTATTTACACAAGAAAAGTTTCCTATTGCTGGTATTAACCAATTTATTTCAAGCTTTATAAATATCATTCGTAATGCCTGATGACAATACCTGTGGAACTGAATTTTTATTTTGGTTTTTATTTTTTATAAGAAAATTCTTGTTCTCACTTGGTTTCATTTGTGCACTTCACTGTTACAGTGTTACCACGTGGAAAACAAATGCTTTTTCCTTCTTTGTTTTATAAAAACAGCCCATTTTCTGGGGCTTATCTAAAAGCGTTTTGTTACTACTGCTGCTGTATTCAGCATCATGTTTGTAAAGGGGAGGGGTCTGGAAGAATTTTGTTTTTCTGAGCATTGCCAATGTTGTCACTCTCATGTTCCTGCAATAAACCTAAATATGCCAATATTTGAATAATAGTTTAGAGCAAACACACTTTTGCCTTTACCTGTTGATGGTCCTCGTGTCCTACACCTTGCTTGCACCTCCCTGGGGCCTGCACACATCCTGTCTTCCAAAACCTCAACATTCCCTGTTTCCGGGTGGATGGTGCTGAGCTGTGTAAGCCAAAAAACAATTCAAAGTCTTCTGAGGCAGGAATTTTGCCTTTGTGGGAGGGGCGGCAATGTTCTAAAGGGCGTGTGGGTTTGTTTCTCTTTCTGAAGTTCTGTCCCCTTCCCAATTCCTTCGCGATGATGTTACTCTCTGTTTGCCTTGTGCTCACGGCGCCGTGGAGGACCGAGCTCTGTGAGGTTGCTGGGGACAAATTAGCGCCTCCAGGAATGAGCCGGTCTCTGGGTCGCTGGGAGAGTTAAGTGCCTGCTCTCCTAACCTCTGCATGGATGTTTGAACAGAGCTCAGCGCAAGCCTTGCCTGTTGTAAAAGCTCTTTGGGATGCAGAATTTGTCTGCTTTGTTTTTCCGTTCTCCCCGTACCAGCCAAAATACGGGGAGGTAGGGCAGCTGTGGGACTCAGTATCCAACGCGTGGTCAGGCAGCGGACACAGGATGTACCTGTGCTCTCTGCTCAATGAACAGAGAAATCTGATTTTATGCCCCCCAGGAAGCAGATGGGCTCTGCTGGGATTCTCAGTGTAGTCAACCTCTTTGGTTTTAATAAAAACTTTGGTGAAGTTTCACCTGGCTCCTGAAACACTTCAGAGCTTTTGAGGAAATGTGGACTTGCCCTCTGAGCAGCACTAAGCAGAGACAAACAGAGCTCAAGGAGCTTGATAAAAAAGAAGCGAGTGTCCCGAGCGTGCTGGGAGCCCGCCAACTCTGCTTACGACGCTTTCTAATTAACCACATCCCGTACTTCAACCTATATTGGGGAACCCACAACTTTTCTCAGACAGAAAAATAACAATATCTTTCATCTTTGGGAGCAAAAGTAGTTTTGAGGTAGCCTTGGCTGAAGGCAGCACAAGTATTTTTCTCCATGGGAGCTATTCTTAACAAAGAGCCCAACTCGTTGACGGAGCATCCCAGGAATCGACGTGACCCTTTGCCACATTACAGCAATAAGTTTGGGTAGAAAGTCCAGATTTTGTGGTCTTACTCCACACGCTCATTACAAACCTCCTGCCTGTGAGCAGGGGGAACCAAAGGTGGGTTTTGTATCGATGTCAGTGGAAGATCCTTCCACCAGCTTCTGGACGCCCTTAGCTGTCCCTCTGGGGAGAAAATGGTGCGTGCACAGGGGAGAGCGGAGAGGCAGGGACTGGTTTTTGCTCTGGCTGATGGAACTTGGCTCCATCCAACGTCTTCTTAAGATAAGACAAATACATCACCACCTCTGCATCACCTCGGGGCTGGCAGCCAGGAGCTGTGTCACTCTCCTTGCCAGAGCACGGGCATCACTGGGGACACCCAGGTTCCAGGAGGGTGGAGGGGACAACTGCAGAGATTCAGGCTTAATTTTGGTGGGCAACAACTAAAAAGCCCCTGGGTGGGGACCCGGGGCAGTCACGAGGGGCAGCTGTGCCGGGCCCCAGCCCTGTGAGTTGTTTCTGCTGCTGGTGGTTGCACCTGGGTGCAGGTTTGAGGGTGCTGGAGCAGAGCTGGGATGGGTTCTCCTGCCCGATGCCAAGGTCAGTGATGATTTTATGCGTCCCTTTTGCGTTCAGTCTTTAGTTT